GGCCCATTGTTTATGAGCACAGATATAAACGCCCACAGCACTTAGCAGTCTCAGGGACCTCTCTAAAGGGCTCCCCACTCCCTGCAGCTGCCCAGGAAGGCTGATTAGTGAGCCTATGTTCACTCTGGTGCATCAAAAGGCCAGGCACTTTGTAGGCCTATCAATGGTTTCCTGCTTTTTATGCGGTATCTTACTTTTGGTCAGTTCCACTTCCCCAACACACTTACCCACTCCTGAAAATGCTCACTCTGGCTCATCTGGGCTCTGTTTACAGGAGAAAGTTTGACTCTCAGTCCTTTTGACTTGGAGCACCATTTGGAACAATCCGGCTCATAAAGTCCTCAAGTTCCCTTGTTGGCCTTATCATGACCTGAACGTTTTGTTAACAAAGCACCCTGTTAATGTTTTGACCACAAGAACTAATGTGCTTCAGGCTGACCGTGGTGCCAAAGTGGTGCCTGCTCCTAAAAAGGGAAGTATTAATTCTATTTTCAAAATAAGTCATCTTACCCCAGCTATATTAGGAAATGTCATCAATCAGTCCAAGAAGCCTGAAGCCTGTTGGTGAGGGTGCTGGGGGTGGGGTATGTGAACTCCCTGCTATTCCCTTACCCCACTTCCTGTAGGGGGCAGCTGAAGTTCCCCTTACATGAGATGCAACTGTCTTAATGAAAATAGACCCAGAAAACACACAATCATCCTGCAAGGGTGCAGCCAGACTGATTCCGAGGAGGAAACACAATAACAAAGCTGATCTGAGAGTCAAAAGGCAGACAATGGCTCGGTTCATTTCCTGGGCAAAGTCCTGCTCAGCTCCGGTCATCACCACAAGCCTGAGCCCTAAACACGATTCTCCTGAGAGAGAATGCTGAAGGCTGGAGCGAAGCAGGACTCTTACAGCAGGGGGAGGTCAGGAGAGTTGCACACGGCAGGACTGGAGCTTCAAGACACAGAGACGGCCCACGCTGCAGGGGCTCACAAGCACAGAAAGGGAAGGGAGAGTTCAGAAGAGAGGCTGCCGAGGCCATCGGAGGGCCCATGAGCCCAGGGGCAAGGCAAACAGTCCTGTGCCAGATCCCCTGAGGAGTGGGAAGAGTCCCGATCCCCGAGGAAAAAGACCACGGGGAAGCCAGTAAAGCTCTACTCCCTCTAATGCTGCTGCTCTGTGAGAACCCACAGATCCTCTGAGGAAGGCTCCTTCTCCACCTCCAGAGGAAATGTCCTCCTCCTCCAAAACCTGTCTCCCAACACTGAAATGCTATATTGTTTCCCCCTCTCTCATACAAATTCTCTCAGCTCTATTCTGCTTTGACACAGGTGAACATTCTGAAGCTCACAGCCATGTGTAATATTTACATTCCATAAATTCACAAGAGGGGTAGTTAGTCTCCTTCTTACCTCCACAGCTTTGTAGATTCACTCATAATAGGCACCGCCTACAACTTTTACAATTCCCTTGTTACCCAGAGGAGCTCTCTTTTGAAGTATCTGCAAGACAGGATGACTTACTATGTTTACGGTGTGTCATATTCCTTCCCTCTAAATGTTGATAAAAAGTCATTAAAATGAGGAATGAATGATGGAAATAAAATAAAGGTGATGAGAACTTTGGCTCAGTAAGCGAGCTCAGTCATCTCAGTTCTCCTAAACATGGGCCAGATCTGACAGCACTTTAGACTCACAGGATACTAACACCAGTCCCACTCCTAAGTGCCAACCTCTTCCCATTCCCAGGCCATCATGGCTGGCAATTTTTCCATTAACTCCCACAATCAGAATCTCACGACAACAATAACGCCCTTCTCTTGCCGGTCAGAGTTCACCCCTGCAATTTACATTCCTGACCTTTTAAGGGACAGCCTTCTTGTTCCTTGGTCCAACCCACAAAACCTTTTCCTAGGTAGGAGTTTGTATTATGGTGGAAATCATTGAACCAATCAGACAGAAATTCCTCAGTCATGGGAAGTAACCAGAAAGAAGTTAGGTGACAACATTCAGCAAGGTTACGTCAGGGGAATTAAAACCCGAGGACAAGGATAGAACTAAGAGTCATCACATGGTCTTGCAACTATTAGAGTCTGGGAGTACGAAAGAAAAGATAGATGCAGGGAGGCATTTCTACCAGACCAGTCATTAAGTCAGGAAAATTTACCCAGACACAAAATGCTGAAGCAGAAACTGGGGATGAGAACATTTCTATTATTAATCTTATGGGGAAGAACCAAAATTCTGGTGATATCAAGCACCGCACTAGTCCCATATCGTGAGGCAGAAGCAATCACTAAAATATTCCCCCCAGAACCTCTCATCTTTCTAAATGTGTGTCCTATTTATGGAACAATGCACGGTTTAAATCTTGAGAAAATTGTGTTCTTCTAAATGCTTATTACGTAAATAATAAAACATAAAGTAAAACATAATTTGTTTAAAAATTCCCAAACAAAAGATTCTACTGCTTAGGGAATAGCCTTTGCGCTTTAAGTTATTAAATTAAGTTGTGTAATTAGTTGGGCTTTGTCATCTGAGCCATGTTTCTGTTCCACAAAAAGACAATGGGATGGAGCCTTAGCAGCCAGATGAAGATGAGCGATTCCCAGGACTCAGAAGCCACAGAGCTGTGAGGTCAGTGAAGCAAGGCCAGCACCTGTCTCCCTCGGGCCCTTACTGCCTCCTGAGTGTGCAAGTGAGTACACAAACGGAGGTCAACTGGCAGATTTTGCAACTGTATTCGAAGCATGTGTATCACTGTTCCTTCTCTGTGTTATAGCTCTGACCTGGACTTAAGAACTGACAACCTAAGAAATGCTATGTGTGCCTTGCTAAATGCATCCTCACTGTCAGCACAGTAAACCGCCCAGTCACTGCCGATCATAGCAGGTTTACCTGTCTCAGGGCAACAGCTGCTTGGTCTGAGTTTTAAGGAGAAGGTACTTAGTAACTACACAATGTCTAGCTCTCTGAACTAAATTTTTATTTGAGTGGCTCAAAATTATACTTGTTAGTACCTTCAAATTTCTAATAAATGTTCACAGTAGATAACTTTCCATATCATCTGAGAGAAGCAAAGAAAATATTTCAAAAAATATAACTTCATGGGCCAATGATCAAGAGATGGAGGGAAAGGAAGACAGGGGACGGGAAGGGAATGAAAAAAGCAGCTGGGTCGTGTACACGTACTGACCCCCACAGGGGAGGTAGTCATTATGTCCTGCCAAGGTGGACCGATAAAATACTTATTTAACAAACGCAATATAATAAAATGTTTTCTGTAAAGTTGCTTATTCCTGGGCCAGTGATTTAGCTCAGTGGCACCGCACCTGCCTTGCAAGCGCAAGGTCCTGAGTTTGATCCCCGGTACAAAAAAAACGTTATACTTGCTCCTAATTTGTCTCATTCCAGACTACTTTTCAATCCCTTTATCACATAGTAAATAAAGTAGGCTTAAAATTTCATTAGGGGTTCAAGCATATTGATTCTAATTCATTACAGAGTTTACAAGATGTTTACAAAAATGTCATTGCTCTTTTTGGTATAGAAACTAGTTTGATAAAGTTCATAGTCCATAAAAATATAACTGGAAAAAAAACTTGGTAAAACTATGAATTTCAATTTGTATGTTTTAAAGTTTTTCTTAAGTATTAGACTTTAGTGAACTAAAATATCCTCATATTTTCAGTGGTGGAATTTCACAATATTTCAGAAAAGAAAATATTTTAACTCATTTTTATTTATTTTAGTACTAACTGAATATTTTGGAAAGTATATGCTCCTGTTTCATTACAAATTGTCTTATAGCTCTTCTTTGCAGTTAAGATATCTGGCATGTAATGTTCTAGGTTTTCATCTAAAGATAGCTACTCTGGGACTTGAGTTAATATGATTTGTAGAATGGTCACATTTTCATTTTTGTATTGTTTATAATGGAAGTAATGAGAGAGTAAAAAGCAAACCCTGAGAATGCACAGCCAGCAAAGTGGGAAGGAGCCAGGAAGTGTGATGTCCTAAAAGCCTGGTGAAACACGTGGCCGGACAGAGAGCTGGCTCTGCCTGGCAACTCCGGGGACTTCGAGTGCATACAAGTTAGGTATGTGTGTTCCTTCTCTTTCGAACTGCACTTAAATGACAACAAAGAAGTTTGAAAAGATTTGATCTCAAATAACCAAAGAGAGTGGAAGCAGAGACTGCTGCAAGTAAGCAAACTTTTGGAAGACGAAAGTAGATAGACAAGCAGATGTGATGCAGCTGAGCGGGACGGTGCCAGCCTTCACGGGACAAGGGTCCATAGGGAGTAGCATCACTTCTACTCAAGAGCCCTGGGAAGGATCTAGTGTTAGATGTACTGCTCTGAAGGGCAGAAAGTCATAAGCAAAGAATTGGGTGAAGATTTGTATGAGGAAAAATCAGACGCCCCAAACCACCTCCCAGTCCCATATACCCTGAGATTGCCCAAACTGTACCTTGATAGAAAAGAAGACTAAAGCATATTCTCAAGAAAATTTAAAATAAAATTTAGTAGGTTCGGTGAGCCAAACTAAAGTTGGGCATGAGATTCCAGACTAAACACCTAGCCTATTAAATTAAAATATTTACACTCCCACTAAAATTCCTAGTCCCTCTCTCAAAGAGCTCTCAGAAAACTGATGCCCAGGATTACTATCTCTAAATAGAGGAAACAAGAAATAAGTTCCTAAGGAAGACCTATAGACACAATAGAAACAATTGATTTTCTCACTTGTGCTTCCTGGCCACCCTAAGGAATCACAGGACATACATTCTTCAGGTTCCAGTCAACAGTAAATCAGGTCAGAAAGCTCCTAGCACAGAAGTCCGAGTCTACAATACACAAACAGAATAAAGGTAACTCACAAGAAACAGATACACTGTGTGGAGAAGAAAACAGTCACAGCTCTGATGACTGAGATACAGACCCAGAGATGGACTTAGGCATGAAGGTGTTTATGAGGTCATGGCTTCCAAGGCAACAAAAGGAAAAGTGGGCAGGGAAAGCAGTCAACCAACAAAACTGGTCCTGTGTCAGCTTAGGCCTCCATCTATCTGGGGCTGGAACAGCCTTGTGAATGGTGCCAAGTGGGCCAAGATGGACCCTCCTCAGACACAAGTGAACCAGCAAGAGAGGCAGTCATGGCCTCAAGTCCTTCTTCGGCGAAGCGTTCAAATGGTACATCCAGCATCCACAACAAGAACTTTAAAGAAACTGTAACAAATGCCTTTACAAGGCCAAACAGAGGTATTGTTTCATTTTGCAAAACAAGAAAAGAATGCTTTTTGCAGTTTTTATTTTTAATATGGGGTATTCTGAGAACAGAAAAATCTCTAGAAATGTAAGAACATAACAATGGGATTTTTTTTAATTCCACAGAAAAGGTGAAAGATAAAACTGAAAAAGTCTTTCAGAAAATGAAATAGAGAGGTTTGGGAAGTAGTTTGAATAAAAGAAATTTTGAAGTTAGAGAAAAAAATTCATAAAGTCTCATATCTAAATAATGAGAACACCTAGAAAAAAGAACAGAAAGAAGAAAGAAAAAAATTATCAGATAACTAATAAAAAACACTACATTAATCACAAAGAACATTATCTGGTCTAAAAATTCCCATTAAGTCTGTAGTACAATAAGTAAGAGGGGTAAGGACATATTTTTTAGAAAAATTTTAAAACTTTAATAAAGAATAGTTTCTAAAAACTTCCAAAGGGGGGAAAGGAATCTCATGTGCTAGATTAGAATTTAAAACAGCTTCGAAATTTACACCAACAAAAGACAGTAATGGATCATTTTGAAAATTCTGAAAGTAAATAATTTTCATCCAAAATATCATAACTAGCAAAGCTTTAATGAAGTGTAAAGGTAGAAAATAAAAGACATTTTCGCCATTCAGCTTTTTAACAGATCACCTAGAGAATGAACGTGGGGAGCCAGGGGAGAATAAGTCCAAAACCTATGTGATTCAGGAAATAAGAACAGTCAAGAAAGGATGAAGACAATCTCCACTTGATGGTGAGCGGAGGACCCAGGACATAGCCACAGTACAGGCAGGAGAACTGGACTACCTGTGAGTCAGGGCAGCCAGAGGGCATGGGAGGAAGACAGGGGCAGCTCCAACCCTGAGGTGGATGGGTGGCTTCTTCTACTTTGACAAAGAAGAACTGTATCCTTGTCTCTGGATTTGGAAAATGAAACAGTGCGAGGTCACCTAGACACAAACTAAAAAACAAACAACAAACAAAAAATCATTTAGCAAAACAAATATTCGAAAAGAAAGATCAGAGCGTTGTGCTTGGCTCAGCTGTTTACAGTATTGATATATCCTTAATAAAAGTAAAGCTGGACATAATTTAACTATACATAAAAGATGAAGAATTAAGATGTAAAAGCAAAAAGTTGATAGGGCTGGATTCTTTTCTCTGTGGGAGAAAGAAATAGAGTATACCTAAAGTTAAATCACACAGAAAAGAAAATACAGGATGCACATGTAATTTAGACATTTGGAGTTATAAGCAGAACTAGCTTATCAATTAGAAAGTGGTGTAATTAATCGGCACATCAGGAGCCAAAGGTGATGAGGGGGGAGGCTGTGCTGCTTTTTTCATTATAAACATCCTAATAGTATTTGTCTCTGCATCGTATACCTGCATTAAATTGATAACAATTCAATATTAATTTTCATAAATGTGTACCTAATCCCTTTCTATTTTTTTAATTTAAAAGGCTGCAATTCAGTCCAGGAGGAACAAATCCAAGTTCACGCATATTTTATGGCATCCGGGAAAAAGAAAAAAATCAGTAAGCCAATAGAGTTTGTAGGGGGGCTGACTTTAAGGGTTTGATTTCACATTTTAATAACTAAGGATTCGGGGGGTCTCTGATGAAATATGGTGACTTGGCCCATCTTCCCCTTTAGCTCACTTTTTTTTTTTAGCCACCATTTAACAAAAAGAAACAGCTGTTGGCATGTGGGTGAAGCGATCCTGCCTTTTGATTTCTCTCCAAATTCTTCACTTGACCTGGATGCGTGACAAAAGGATCGTCAGAGTCTCATGTTAGAATTGATGTTTATGCCGACAAGGGGACACCACTCATATATCACACTGTCAAGCACTGTCACCTTCATAGAGTAAACAATTCAAAAGAAAAATTGTAACAGTCATTTTAATGAGCTTCTTCTTCATTTATTTCATAGACAGAAAGTAAAACTGATCTGTGAAAATAAACATCTCCTCCTTTTCCCGTCTCTCTCTTTTAAACTGATCCATGAACAAGATCATCACAAGTGTTCTGTAAATTTCTTTTATTCCCTTTATTTTAAAAGGAGAAAGAGAGAGTGGATCCCAGTGGACAAAAGGCCACTGTTTGTGTGGGTTCCTGAGATCTTTTACCTTTGGGTCACAGGACATTTTTAAAGTTCTTAAAATTGCACAGTAGTAAGAAAGAAAAGGGAGCAGGGCACGGTGGTGCACACCTATAATCCCAGTGTTCCAGGGGCTGAGCCAGCAGGATGATAAGTATGAGGCCAGCCTGGTCTACACAGTGAGTTCAATGCCAGTTTGGCCTATATAGCAAGACTTTTAGACAAATAACTCACCACCTCCCTAATGGTCAATGGGATCGTCTTGTTTTTAGAGCTGACTGTCATCTGTTTCTAAGAACCATAGATTTAGGTACAAAGCCTGGTGAAAGTTAGCCTTTTTTTTTTAATGAATTCATTGGCTTTTACAGTATAAGGAGTGGTGACTCTGAATTGGGCTGGTATATTAACTCCTCAAATCAAAAGAATAAGATGCTCTGCCCTGGGCTAGCAGTGGTTCACAGCCAACCTGGAGCTGCTTTCAGCTGGCCCTCTTCTTTTCTGCTAAGAGTGTCATACAAGCCCCATCACATCTACTTACTGAAGGTCATGTACCAATTTTTTTCACTGCAACACAGTCGTTAAGTCCTCTTCACAAACACATTGACCTTTCCGAGATTACACATCATGCACCAAAGCTTGCTTAGTCATGTTATTTCCCAACCGAAACTGAATTCTTTGGAAAATGTTTCCTCAGTTAATCTCTGAGGGGGGAACAGAGCCCATTTTTCTGATAAACAACAACAACAACCACAGGGTTATCTGGAGTTAAATCATCTTTAGGGCACTTTCCACCAAAACTTAATTTCAGAAGAAACTTGGGAAAGTCATAGCCCTAAGCCATGAAGGTTAACTTTGAGTCTAATAATCCTCCAGAATAAAATGTACCAACAAAGATGTCTCTGGAGTATTATTAAAATAAAAAATAGATGAGCTGTTGATAATCGTGGCTTTTGATGGTAACGAAAGATTCCTTTTCTATTGTGTTCATTCCTCAGGTACTTGAAGGATTGTAGGAACTGTGAAAGCCAGATACTAGAACAAAGACAGCTGAATAGTTTTGTTGCCTTGAGTGTGCAAATTATGCTTATCCAAGGTCAACTTGATTTAGATATCCTATGGCTTGTATCTAGATGTTTTCCCAAAGCTTCATGAGCTCACAGATGGGGCTTTGGGAGGTGGCTGGATCATGGATGTGTGATCCTGGGACTAAGGGAGTGTGGTACTTGATTAGCCAACTGATTGGTTTACCCTAATTCTAGGCGTGGACAATAGGAAAGCCCACCCTGGGTATGGGCAGCACCATCCAACAGGCTTGTGGCCTAGATGGGATAAAAGTCCAGAAGGCTGTTTGTTGCTTCCTGCCTGCCCTGCCATGTACTGTATCTCCTCTGCCCTGCCTCTCTGCCACCTTGCCTTAGAGCCAGTTAGCTATGGACTGAAACCTCTACAAATTGTGAGCTGAAATAAACTTTTCCTCCTTTAACTTGTAGGTGTTGAGAATTTTATCCCAGTGATGAGTAAGTAGCTAAGACATCCCGTATAAGTCAGCTAAATCAAATGTTTAGGGGCATATTTTTAAGGTTTTTAAAAATCCTAACCACAAGATAAACTAACTCATACTACAAAAATCGTCAGCCTTTCAGATTATTTAGCTTCACAACTGACTTATCAATTAAGCCAAGACTCTAGGAATGAAAAAAATGCTAACATATGCACACAAAACTTCCTAAACCTGTGTCCACAATAGGGCCAAGTGTGTAGAAGAGGAATACAAGATACTCCAATTTCAAAAACAGACCAAGCTAGAGCAAGGTCTCACGCATCTATAATTTTGTCTAATTCTAAACTGCTCTAATTATTCTTGACAGGAACACCTAGGTTTAGTTACTGCCCCAGTGCTAAGGATTTGAGACAGTAGGGTTGACAGACACAGGAAATGTAGACAATGACACAAAACAATGTGTGTGTGTGTGTGTGTGTGTGTGTGTGTGTGTGTCCTATTGGCTGAAGGTAATATGTTAATATTTTAATTTTATAGTTTGAAGTCAACATAGAAAAGCTGCCTCAACCTCGTACACATACAACAGGCTCCTTTTGATACACCATTCTGTAAGAAATCACTTCTGTAGGGCTAGGTTTTTCTCACCAAGAATGGATGCCATTGAGACCCACCAGGATCTTCATTCTTGTTATTTTCTGTCTCTCACTTTCTTCCACCTCAGTTAATTCTTGCTTCTTCACTCTCCCTTTCTCCTGAAAACCCAAAGGCACAATTCTAGCAGGGGAATGCAAAGTTGGTTTTACTCTTCACTCACAAGTCATCCTAAAGAGTCAGACCATTCAAGGTTGGGAGGTATCACTGAGATGTAATATAAAGTGTCTCCATATTGTTTTATTTTACAAGAAGGAAAATTTCACTTATATTAATTTACAGAGAACCAGTATCGGGCTGGGGGGGTGCACATGTGTAAAGCGCCACATAGGAAAGTGTGGTTAAGGACAGCATTGCTCTGAGGGGCCCGCGGCTGAGACAAACATCAACGTTTTCCTCATTATTTGGGTATACTGCGATAATGAAGTTTCCATATTTTGGTAAATTGAGGGGTCACTGCAGCCAAACAGATGTCAAACAGCATGGATTCAAAATTCACACCCTAAAACGTCTGGGGCTCTTTGTGTGCTTCCTGACATTGATCCAGCAGAGATTGCAGATGTGTGTGAAATGAGACTGTTCCTTTGCTTCCTATGACTTGACCCTTCGGGGTTTACACAAGGGCCGAACGCCCTGACCATCCCCCTCACCCCGTTTCACCCCATTCCACCAATGCTGCCTCCTAGGCCCACCGGAAATCGTGAGGCCCACCGGAAATGGTGTCCCTTAAGAATGAAAGGAGCCGGAAGCTGAGGGAGGGAAGCGTGGCCTGGACGACTTCTCTGAACTTAAACTCTAGCTTGTGGAACCTGAGGTTCTCCATACCTAGCAAGCTCCCAGGACCACAGAGTAGCAAGGACTTGTGATCAGGACTTTCACGGAGAAGCAGTTGTTTCTCCACCCACCCAGTCCCACGCAGGACTTTTTCCTGGCACCTGGACGCATGGACCAACTGCTGGGTCCCCACATAGACATCTGAAAGAAAAGACAAAATTCCTTTCCTGGCTCTGTGAGGCCTTAGTTTTATGAACACACAGAGTACTGCTGAGTTTGTTTGGTTTCCCTGAAAACAACCACTGACACTTGCCATTATTTAGAGTAGGATTTTAAATCCACCTCCAGCCTATCTTTTTAAAACAACAAATCATGAACCTGACTTCCCATGTGCTTCCTCTCTTCTCTGAGACTGTCACTGATCGCCTCCTGGACCTGTGTTTGTCCTAGTGTTGTGTAGAGCAGATGAAATTCAAGATTCCTCAGAAACCATGGCAGGACAACTCCTCAGACAGATGACCTTCCAAATAACTTTCTCGTTCCTTTTATGTTCAGAGAAGGAAAAAGGAGGCCAGAAAGCTATGCAAGGGTGAACAAAGGCCAGAATTGTAATTTATATCTCTGACCTGACAGAAAGGTGAAAACAAAGAGAATTTTTTTCCCACTGTACTGACCTCTCCTCAAGGATGTTTTGCTAAGGAAAATCATGTTTTTACATGCAGCATCTTTCATTTGTATTTTTAGCCATAAGCAGTCATTTCAAACTTGAACAGAACTCTTGTTAGATCTTTGAAGGTAGGAGTTAGACTTGGAGTCTGACTTACTTGTTTCTAAACCTCAGAATAATGCCTGGCATGTAGTAGATGCTCAGTAAATACCTGTCAGTAGCTGGTGAGCTATATGTGGAACAAAGGCATAATGAGACCTGATAGCATACTGTAGACACCTACATACTCCATATACACATCTCACACCCACATAAGCTTCCTGCCAGCCTTCCACATCCTGCTTGGGTTGTTTTAATTCATTTCTTTCCTGCACAAATTTATTCTCTTCTTAGTATCTCCAACTCTGCCATGTGCCTATTTTATTCCACACTTTTGCTGATCTTGAATAAATCAGAGACCAATTTTCAGCATAAGTTGAAGACAAGTTTTAATGTATGGTGCTACTATCTTTTCTGAGCATATCACTAACAGCTGTGGAAGAGCCTTCACCTACCACAGGGCTGAGTTTAGGACTGACTTCAGAGACTACTCATTTCCAATGGTGGAAGAACCACAAGAAATCCAAGTTCAACCACCTTGGAAAATTAACTACTTTACATGAGCAGTGCCCACAATTACATGAGTCTTGTCTGTTTCATGAAAACAGAACTCTATAAAGATCTTTCCAAATTATACCGCTTTCCAGAACCTGATATAAATTCTATGTTGCCCAGTTCAGAATACTTTGTCAGGAATGTTATAAAGAAGTCTTCATTAAAGACAAGGA